TATATATATATATATATATATATATATATATATATGTGTGTGTGTGTGTGTGTGTGTTTGAAGTACTGTTTCTTACTTGGAACATTACCACCTTTCCTTTTTCATATTATTCGGAAAAGAATCTAGTGGTAGAATTAACTGTTCCAGAAAATAATGTTAGAAGTTAATAGTAAGATTGCATATTGGCATCACAAGTTCGTCCTACCATATGAAAAAAAAATATATATATATATACATATATATTGCTGAAATCTTTTTCAATATATTCCAAGAAAAACTTGTAAGGATGCAAGCCTTCACATTCAAGACTACATAGACAGAACACAGTATGTGATGTGATGATGGAGTGTGCAGTTGTGCACTGAATCATCCCACTATGACCTTAGCCTGAAGACACTGTAAGATGTAATGTTTCACAACAAGTCACATCATTATAAGGCCCGGCATGGCCAGGTGGTTAGAGCACTCGACTCCCAATCTGAGGGTCACGGGTTCGAATCCCCGTCACACCAAACATGCTCACCCTTTCAGCCGTGGGGACTTTATAATGTGACGGTCAATCCCACTATTCGTTCGTAAAAGAGTAGCCCAAGAGTTGGCAGTGCATGGTGATGACTAGCTGCCTTCCCTCTAGTCTTACACTGCTAAATTGGGGACGGCTACCGCAGATAGCCCTCGTGTAGCTTTGCACAAAATTCAAAAGCAAACAAACAAACACATCATTATGATTGTGCAAGTAACCATGTGCTTAGTCATTCCACTAGAATCTTAGCCCTAGGACACTATAAGATTCAGTAACGAAATGTCACACAATATGTTATGTCAATGAGTTGGTACATCTAATCATGTATCAACTCATTCCACACTGGCCTTAGCCCAATGACATTTTATGGTTTAATGAAGTCAATAAGTCATGTCATTAAGATGATGTGCATTATCTTGCACCAAGTCATTACCCTCTGTCCTTAGCCCAGGGACACTACACTATTAAGGGGGTGCATGTCTCAACCTTCAGAAGAAGGTGAGGACTTCCCTCATATTTATTTATGGTGGGAATTGGAAACAGGTAAGCCTGCTAGTATTTAAGAAGATGGCAAAGGAAAGGTGAAATAGAAGTAGTTAAGATGGGTGACTTGATTGACAAATTATTGCCTCAAAAGATGTGGCATTCCTTACCTTTCAAACTATCAACTGGTGTTTCATGATAGAATGTGTACAGTGTACATTATGTGATACTCGATTATTATATAGCTAGGACAGTTTGGTTGATAGACAAACCAACAACTGAAAGAGTATTGGGACCCTTACTTTCCTAGCTTTCAAGTGATATTTGGTGGCAAGATGTTGGTCTGATGTTTTGTAATAATTGCTCAGTTTATCTACTTGAATTGTAGTGGAACTTGTGTGGAGCAGACCATGTGAATATTGCTATATTAAAGCTAGAAAAATTGATATTATTAGATGAAAATTCTAGGGAAAGTTTCAGTTGTATTTAACTGTTAATGATAACTGGGGATTCTAATGAATGAACTGAAGAGAGTCTGCAATCCTTTCTCTTTGAGCACTCAGGTTAAGTTTTGTGGGGAATGTTAAACAGGCATTTGACTACAGAAGATTTCCGAGTGAACTCACAATGTTATGTGCATAAATTGGCGTAACTTTGTTTGTGTCGCTGTGTGACATCACACCTTATGGTCTGGTTGGAACACACCAATTTTCCTGAAGTGCAGTCAGAAGGCTCTATTCTAACCCAGCACAGAAAATTATCAGTCTATAAATCAGCCAAAATTTGTACAATTTTGCTATATTTTGCTTTATTGATTTTCACATTTATGTTAGTGGATTTTTCAAAACCTCTAGATCACACTGTTGATGAAATAAACATTGCAGTTTGGACTAATTGATGTATCATGACAATGAAAAACTTTTGCTGTTGTTCCTTGTGTACCAATAAAATTGGACTGTGTGTGTATGCATGCCTTTTGTAATTGTCAATATGAAATGTGATCTGCATGAACATTTTTAGTAGAATGGTCTATTTTTGTTCATTTACATCTGCAATTACTTTGTTTTCATGGCATCACTTGAGTTGGGGTAATTCTAATTCATAGGGTTGCATCAGCAAGTATTACCTTAATGTGCTTTTTAAAAAGCATGTGGAGTAAGTACTATTCAATTTCTAAAGAAACCATAAAGCCATTCAGTGGTGATGTCATGTAAGATGAATTTAAGCATTGGTTGTAATATGATGCAGTAATTGAAGCATGTGTGAAACACCTGTTTTGTAGTATGTATTCAATCAGTTTGTATGTGCCTTACATACACAAATATGATATATACAAGAGTCAAGCCATGACCTGACCCTTTCTTGTAAAGGGTCAGCTAGAACCAGAAGTAGAGCACATTCCACATTTTATAAAGATCATGAATTATGATCAACTTGTTTAGAAATGATATTTAGACCAAACATTTTGTAATACACAAAAAGTTTGAAAATAATTTGATACATAATGCACCAACCAAGCTTATTTCTGAATCAAAACTACTTAAAAACAACATGTACATTATGTTTTCTTTCATTTTGAATGACCAAATCATGATCATATGATGATTTTACCTTTCAAGACTAAATCACATAAGCTACAAAGATTTCAGTTACCAAAACTGCAAGCATTCTTTCACCAATATCAATGAAATTAATAGGTTCAACATCTTTCAGTCTAAACATTTCAAGCCAATCATCGAGTTTCCACTAAAATCACATCACAATATTTCAAGCCAAATTCTCTAGTCACTTGAAAATATTGTAAATTGTCTGAAGTGGTGTTTCTTCAGGATTCCTCCAGAATTTAACCTCAATCACTATGGTAAGTGCATGCTACACCATCAGCAGATGATAAAGAAGACACACAAATGATGTATCATCCTGCATTGGGCTGCAGTCTTTAAGTGTTATGGGCAGTTCACCATAGTCCTGAGTGCAGTATATTGTTAGGAAATTCACAAGACTATGCCCAATGAACAAGTCAAAATTACAAATTAATCCAACCTGAGATAGGTCAAAGGTTCAGTCAGCAACATAAAGTTAAGATGTCATCACGATTAACAGCCTGCATATGTTGCAAGATCAGCAAACTGTAAATATTGTACATATCCTTCAGTTATATATAAACTGTGCTTTTTCTTTTATTAGTTTTTTTTACATTGTAATTTCTTTGCATTTAATTTCATATTGTAATTAGTTTAAGCTATGTTTTATTTTGGTTTGTGCTGTTTAGATTTTGTTTTTATGTTTTACATGTACATTTAAATATATGCAACTTTTGTAGGTTGTAGAATATCAGTTTTTGTCATCAGTTTTAATTTTGATTGTTTATAACTGACCATCATTCTTTGTTTTTACTGTATATTTTAATTTTGTATTTGGTTTTGTTTACTTTATAATTCTTGTTTGTAATTTTGATTATTTCATTAAGACTTTGCTCTATGCTTTATATTTTGCATTACTTTGAATTGTATTATTTGGAATTTATGTGTTACACTTTGTTGTCTTTGTGTAGGTGTTGTGTGTGTGTCACCAAAGAGAAATGATTACAGCATTTTACAAGACAACCTTTATTTATTTATTAATTCAGCTAGTAATCTTAATTTTAAAGTTCAGAGTGGGATGCCTCTGAGATAAAGAAGGGGGAATTGTAATGACTGAAATAAACCTTAATTTTACCCTTGTATAACTAGTTTAGAATATATTTATAGTGAGATATATTCAGGTAAACTTTTTACATTTTTTGCAGTTGTTCTGCAGGTAGTATGGAAGTCTTGTTAACCAAATGTCAAATAGTTGTAAACAGGTACTAATCCTTTTACTCAGTTAAAGATTGCATATTCCACTGGCTAGAAACTTCTGACACTTTGGCCCTGTGTCCACCCCCTTGGGAGGAGTGAGCTCATTTCAAAGGGTAGCATAGATATTTGTATAAATTGAATTTGGAATTTTTCTACCCCTAAATGCTATACCATTGATGTACATACCATTGGATTTTGGTATGTAACAATGTAGTTTTTTGTCTGAATTTCAATGGTAAATTAGAATTATCTTTGTCCTGTACAGATATGGATTTAAATTACTCTTAACCATTCACTTCACCCTAGAGGCCAGCCAGTTTAAGTACTTATGAATAAATATTTGGTGTCCTTGTTCACTTTTGTTCATGTTTTCTTTGCTGTCTGTGTCTGATTTATTCTTTCCATAACATTGCATTACACTTATGATTTGTGCCCCGATGTTGGATATTTGTTTTGTGGCTGCATTTTTTATTTTTTCAAGTGTGTGTGTATATATATATAATATACATACACACACATAAAGTCTAGCTTTCAGTCACACTAAACATAACTAGTTCTAATAATATGTTGTATAGAATATGAGTGTGGAAAGAAATTTTACACTTATCAAATGACAGCCACCTACTCCTATGAGTGATTTCTGTGATAATATTTGATAGAAAGTTACAAATTAAGTCAATTGTATATATGTTTGATATCAGTTATGATTGATTTATAGATGTGTTTGTAGTGTTAACTGTAATTTTTAAACAACATTTAATTAGTATGGCTTTTTCTTGATATTTCTTGAATAAAAAAAGTATTGGCTAAATTCAATACTTTTCTATACAGTTGACTTGAGTCAGGAAAGCAGCACTAACTTTTTTTTCACAATACTCATCAACCAATGTAATTTAAGTCAAGTCCTATTTGATTATATTGAATGAGCTACTACATTTTAGGCTTAAGCTGTAAAGAAAAACTTAGTTTTGCGTTTGTTTTTGTGAGGATTACTGAAGAATTAAAGGACTTGGTTCAGATGTTTAAAATTTTGCAGTTAACGTGAATTATTTTCGGAATTTGTTGGATAGGTATATATATATATATATATATATATATACACTACACACACACATATATATATCTATATATATATATGAAGGACTATATTACAGTTTTTAATGAGAAGTGATTTCAGTTGGCTGACATGCCTTTTTTTTCATCCTATCTTTCTTAAGCAAGTACGATGTCAGAAAAATGTGCCCTGACTTTAGACTTATTGTATCAATTATTACAAATTGAAATCACCAGAAAACTCAGCTTAACACAACAGTATTAATAGTATTAGATTTTTGTAAAACTAATTCTCCACCGTTTTTGTGAGAAAAGTATTGCTTTGAAATATGTATATACAAAATATATGTCAGGTGAAAAAAGCTTCCTCATAAATTAAAAGTTTTTTTTTAAGTGAGTGAAATAAATTCTTTGTCTGTGTGATAAAAAGGTTTTTTTCATGGATAAAGAACTTTGATGTGAATAAAATTTTCAACTCTATATGCAAAATATATTGCGTACTGTGATAAAAATGTTTTGTCATGCGTGTTGTCATCAGGTAAGTGTGTTTGGTTGTGGGGAACATGAATGATTTGCACAAATTGTTCCTGTGTTCAACAATTTAGTATATTTAAAGAATTAAAGCTTCATTGGACATGAAAAATCAGTAAAAGTTAAGTAAAATATGTACAATTTTGTGTGTGAATGTTATATTAACAAGTAAAAAAGTGATATACAAATTTTTACAGAAAAGAGCACCTTATTTGCTGGTGCATGTGCATTTAATTTCCAGACTGTTGAGTATTTCCTTCATAAATGTTTATAATGACTTAGTTTGATTTGAAATATAGTCCATATGTGTATGGATATATACTGATCTTTATTAATGTTTTTCAGCTTAGTGGTTAAGAGAACAGAACACTCGTCAGGATATAGACCTGACTGTAAGTAATTGCTTTTCTATGTCATTTCTGAAAATATTTAAAATTCATATTAATTTTTTGCATGTCATTTTGTTTACTACTAGCTGCGTTTGATGTGTTTGTTTGTGTGTGTGTGTGTGTGTGTGGCTTTAATATCACTTTGTGAGCACTGCACTTAGTGGTGTGCTGCAGTTTTTTTTTATAGTTTCCAGATGTGCCTTGGAGGAAGCACTCATCTATAGAATAGTAATATATAATTTGTTTATTAAAGATACCAGACTTTCATAAGATTTCAAATTTGCATAAGCATTAGATATGTTCATTCATAGTTATGAAAACATTTCACAACACAGGTCAATTTTTGATACATGGTACCTTATGTTTTAAGCATTTCTGTATGTTTTGATGTAATGAAAGATTACAAGCAGGAAAAAACTTTTAATCACAAAGACTATATGAGGCTCTTGCGTATATGTGGGATGAAAGACATGAAAGAGTCAATTATAAACCTGATGAAATGACTAAATGATTTTAGAATTTTATCATCATTCCTCCTTTCATTAGCACTTGACACTTGAGTAATAGACAGAAACCCTCAAATTTATCATCAGGATCTAAATAAACAATATTTTCCCTAGCATCGTACCCATTACTTTTAATAAAAAGCTTAGTTTATATACATATATGTAAGAATAACAAACTATATTATCTTAATTTTATTGTCTTTTTTTTTCCAATAGACTGTGGGTTTGAGGTCCCAGCAAAGTTTATTGTGGGATATGCTATAGACTATAATGAGCATTTTAGAGACCTTAATGTAAGTATAATGTTTTTTTTTGTTTGGGTGGTTTTTGGATGAAGTTAGATAAATATTGATGGATGCAGTTATATTGTGAATTATACTTTGTGAGTAATTGTGTTGAACTAAAATGCAATTTGTGTAATAATTTTATACATGCTGATTATTAGATTTAAGATAATGGCCAAATGGCAGACTTTTCATAAAAGTGTAGTTTTACTGAAAATCATGATTTTACTGTTTTTAGGAAGCTTTCCTCATATGTTCAGCCATACTAAAACCATTTTGAATTTCTAGATAATTTGACATCTACATCCAAAACATAAGGCATTTTAGTTTCTTGGTTGGTTTATCATCCCTTGTTAAGAAAATATTTAAAAAAAAGGGGGGGGGGCAAATTGCTTGATTTGTACGTATGAGTGACCTATTCAGGTTGCAGGTTTACAGATTACTTCTATTTGAGAATTAGCTTCAAGTTAAACAAATGCTTTACATTAACAAAATGTATTCTTATGATAATGGTAAAGACTTGAAAAATAGTGTTTTTGGTTATTTTAACCATATTATAGTCAGCTAAATAAATAGTTTCATTTGACATGGGCCGAGTATAAATGGGTAATCATGATATGTGTGGACAATTTGCCAATGTAGTGGTTTGTCATCACATTTGGGAGCCATGGTACAAGATGTTCAGCATGTGTATATTTAGTTCTTTGTGAAATGCCATCATATGACTTTAGGGATTTATGTCATGGCATTTTCTAAAGAAGGATGTTCATACAGTAAAATTGTTAAATAATGTAGAGTCAAAGGACACAACATCTTTAAAGAGGGACATGGAAGTGAAGAAACATGCATAGCAGAGTTCTTAGGGCAGTTATAGGCCCAAAACCACCCCCACACCAATCTGAGACAAAGTGAAGGCTGTGGTTACAAATAAAAAAACCCTCCATCTTGGGAAGCCATGTGATAAAGCTATTCATACTTCCTGGTACCATTAATAAGATAATAAACTACAATTTAAATTAATGAGGATTTACAAGGCAATAAATTTGCAAGCCTCCAGCTATACTTTAAAATCAATGGCTGTTTTCATGAGAAAGGCAGCCAATAAAGTTGGAATATCAGAAATCCTCTTTTCTATTACACATCTGCAAATTCCTTGATAAAACTGTAATGGCCTTTTGTGCTTTTGGTCTACTTAAGCATGATCTTGAAATTTTATGGCCATATACAGTGTGTAGGGGTCTGTGGAAGTTTTTCAAGATGTGTTATCTAAGATTAACTTCATTGTCCTTTGGAGAAGTTTGTTTTAATGAAAATTAGGGCAGCAAGCAACAGTGCTCAGTACAGTTTTCTGATAATTATATATCTTGATTCATAGTGTTTGTTATTATTTAACTAGTTTTTTTATTAATTCATCTCATTTAAATTAAGTATAATTTAATCAAGCAGTTGAAAGTAGAAATTTAACTTTTAAAACATAAAGCATATAAAGAAATATTTTTCGGTAACAAAACCACTTTGCAAGCAAGCTGTTCTTTGCCATATTACCTTCTATTTATGGCAGTTCATCACTTCATTAGACTTGAAGCTTGCCACCTAACAAGACATGTTATTTTGTTGCTGATAAATTATCTCAGTTAGAATGAATTGATTCTTCACAATTATCTTTATATCTTAATAGTTCTCTGTAGCTTTATGGTTGATTAACGCATTATCTCTCTTTCTCAACATTTTTCTTTTGTCTTAAATTTTGATCATTCAGAAATTTCAAAACAATAGATTGTTTCTAACATTGTCTTGTATACTCCCACCCTCTGATGCATGTTCTTTTCCCTGTAATTTAATGAAAAAGGAATATTTTTGTTGAGGTGATGAAGGTTTCATTTGGTAAGTATTTTGTAATTTATTACACTGTTCCTTTAGGCCTCCAGAACATCAACATTAATTTTGTGTTTCTAGACATGTTTTAAGAATGTCTTTGCCTTACAGCTCAATTTCCTTTTCTAAACTGCTTGAGAAGTTTGTTGTGGGATTTGTAACTTCATCTCCTCTTCCCCCTACTACTAGACTACTGAACAGAGAACTTCGTGCTTCTGAAAAATACCCCATGTTTCAGTTGGAAGACATGGAGAGATTAATGAATGAAACTCTTAAAAAATCTTTTCTATGTCATGCACTGCTACTGCATCATAGATTTGCATTTATACTGGCTCCAGCTTACTATAGTATCTCTCTTTGGTGACTTTAGTTCATTGTCCAGCCAGAGGTACATTAGTATATTTCAGATCTACCAAGTTCATTTCTTCTTCCCCCATGGCATGTTTGTCTTGATATTGTAATATTCTCTTGAGCACGAATACAAGTATCTTACTTTTATTTTGTTTTTTGTGTTGCACAGAAGTTTTTTTATAAGGTGAACATGTTTATGAAATAGATTATTTGTTTCTTCTTTTACAGCATATCTGTGTAATTAGTGATTATGGAAAACAGAAGTTTGGATCAGCAGCTGTTAAGAACAGTCTGTAAGATGCAGTGCTTGAAGATAAAACAAGTACTGCTATAAGTGCATTTGAGGAATAACACTATTACATAATTATGGCTTTATGAATTGTTTTAAATTTATATTTGTAAATGAAAACTTCGGATATTCAGGAGCAAGAAAAATGCACAGGCAAAAATGTTAATCTTTGAAAACTTTATATTTAGAAACAGATCAGCAAAAATAATAAAAAAAAATTATATAAGGACATCTTGAATACTTGCCTAGGCAAAACACCAAAATCGTGAAATAATAATGCCTAGGCAAAACACCAAAATAAAGGAATGATAATGCCTAGGCAAAACACCAAAATAAAGGAATGATAATGCATTTTGATAAATATATGTCAAATAACTTGTTAAATTTCTTTTTCTGCATATATATATATTAATCTGTGTCATATACTGAAATAGTTATGCCAGAAAGTAAGATAATGCATATAAAAATACTTTCAAAGCACTTGTAAATCATTAGAATCTGTGTGTGTTTCAATTTACACTTTGTGGCATGTCAAAATACTAAACAAAATCCCATCTACACCAGAGAAGCTAGGCTAAAATGTCTTCCAGTTAGCATGTTAAGTTAAATTTTTAACTCCTGCATTTATATAATGATCAAATCATTAGCTTACTCAGTCTCACTTTCAGGAAGTGATTGCAGACAATTACTTTTTATTAGCTTCATTCTCAATTGAATATAAATTATAAATCAGAAAATGGCATGTTATTCTCAAGTTTCATAAACTGAGTAACTGAGTAAACTAAGCATTTTCAAGTGTAAGGCAGCAGAAAATTATTCTTATCACATGCATATTACAGTTTGTATGTAAGGATCAAAGAATCAATGAGAAGTAATCATTTGATGGGACACAGTCATTCACTTGATATATGTGTAGATCCAGTTTTCAAACACGTAAAGGAATGTAGGATATTTATTGATGTTGAGTTTTGCATATTTTATTGTTTGTCTTATGGTTTGTCTGATTGCAGGGTCATTTTCAGGGTCTGTTATTTTGTAAGTTTGTGTTATCATAAAATTTCCACAACTATAAAACATAAAAATGTCTAGAAACAAGGGATGGTCAGCTTTTAAGTTTCTTTCTGTTTCACCTACGTAGATGGTGTTACATGGAGTGGGTTCTGTTTGATAAATTACCTTAATGTTAGTTTTCTTTCTGTACTTTTCATGTTGACCTCTAGTTCATATTTTTCACACAATGAGCTCAAGAGTTGTTTTATGCTATTAGCAAGTCCCATATAAAAAGGCAAAGTGCAACATACAGTGCTACTGAAATCTACATCACATGTATTGTTCTTTTTCACAACTGAAAATAATGTGTTTTACAATGTCACAATGGTAGTTATTAGTTTTAATTATTAAGTATGGCAGTACTTAATAGTGGGGATGAACAAGGTTTCCAAATAATTCACATGCCGAAAAACCACCTTATTGAATTCCTAAGCAAAAAACTGATCATACAAAGTATTGGTTACAATATATTATGTGCATATATACTAATAATATGCTAAAAAAAAGTCACATTTCTGGTATAGCAATTCAAAAATTTCTAAAACAGCAACTTTTTCATCTACTACCCACATATCTATCGGATCACATCAGCGTAGCTAGCCCCTAGTTGGTTCGGGCTATCGATACAAGATTTCTCCAGCTTACTTGACTGGTCTGTGGGTATCCACTTTTGGTATTCCAATAAATATATACAGATTCTTTTACAAATGGTAAAACATATCATGCACATACTTAAATATTTTTCAACCCAAAATGTCGCACTACATATTGATGGATAGACACGAGGTAGTTTCTAAAGGTAGATTATATACTTTATACAGTTAAAACATTAAGGAATGGTTAAAAAATTACGAATTTTAAAATGAAGTAGCGATCCTGCTACAAAAAGTAATGAAACAAGAATTAAAACCACAAATTAATCCCTACATTCGAAGCTTTATACACTTATGTGTAGAACAAAGTAAGGATTACATTTTATAAATTTGTGATTGTGGTTTTAATTATTGTAAAAGTTAAAGCTATTGGGGATATGGCCATACTGAAAGTTTATAGATGTTTTGTCAATTCCATGGACATATAAAAACTGAACAAATAAATAGGGAAAAATAATTAAAATGTTCATGGAAAATAAGGATCGTTGGTTATTTATAGAATTGCTATAAGAACTATCCAAAACAAAATAAATGCTGCAATAAAAAGTAAACAAACTAGTTGAATAGATTTTAAAATGATTTTCAAAGTAGGGATTGAAAATCATTTTAAAATCTATCCAACTGGTATCGCTTTACTTGTTTGTATTCTTTTTTATTGCAACAGTTGCTTTGTTTTGGATACTTCTTATAGCAATTCTATAAATAACCAACGATCCCTACTTTCTGTTAAAATGTTCTTTTTTTTTCCTTCCTATTTATAAAATATTTAAAGAATATTATGCTATTTTCTGGGTTTCAGTTTAAGTGAGTCTAGAGATATCTTAATACAAGTACATAGAATGTATACTGCTAGCATTATTCAACATAACCTTATTTATTTTATAAATATATATAGTATACAACTTAGACTATCTAACATTGTAATTCTCTAACACTTGATAAACGAATACAGGTATTTATTTACTGTGTCATGGACCTTAAAAATCAAAGTGATGTATTTTACATGAATAAGGACAGGCTACTTCTTAATTTATATGTTTCTATGATCTGGCAGATATTTAGTTGCAGTTCTTAAATTCCATCTACTTCATTCTTGTGATGTTTGATTTGTATGTTAATTATATAGGCAGCAAACTAATTCTTGTCGTCAAGAGTTACTAGAAATAAGTAAGAAATTTATATACTGTATTTGCTGGTGTAAAAGATGACCCTGAATTTTTTGAGGAAATTAAATGTATTTCTTTGAGGTTTAGTGTATAGAATGACCTCTATTGTCAAGCAAGTCTAGGATGTTACTTTTGTAAAGAAATTGTTATAAGTTATTTTTATACTGTGCTAACCTGTACTCTGGCGTAATCGATACAACCACAAGTGTGTTTTTTATGCTCTTCAAATGCTACAGACAGTTCAATTTGGCAAAATTTAAGTCGAAAACATGTAATAAACAACTTTACAAAGTTTTCATCACATTACAAAAAAAATACTAAAACTTAAAATATAGTGATCTACTATAAAAATACGTTCACAAAACTAGTGTATGTTACAGAAACTTTTTTTTATATAATATTAGTAACATTTTAGTATGATGGATGAGATCAGTACATTTCAAATAAAAAAATTTCTTGATTAATTGTAACTAGCATGTGAGATTGATAACTTCCAGTTATGAAGAATCAAGACAAATTATAAATATGTCATTGTAACACAGTAGATAGCATGATGTCAACACAATTACCCAAAAAAAAGCAAACAAAAGTTAAAGGAACAACTTAGTATTGGTTAAATATGCTACTAACAGGAGAGTTCTTACTGGAACTCTATTTTTGAATCTGTGTCTAAGACAAGGGATAAAATTGGGCATTGTTTTAAGAGCAAAAAGTATCATCTTATACACTGGTAAGTACAGTAATCAAAATGATGTTAGTTTCAACAAATATCAAGTATTCTAAATCAACCAAATTGTAAAGCTTTTGTAAAGTAATTAAAAACCAAAACTAATTATGTAAACGTTTCTATTTACTGTGATGAGTAACATAGTAGGGCAGAAGGCTTAAATTTTAAAGAAAATGTGTCAATAATATTGTTAACATTTCATTAAATTACCAAGAAAGTTTCAGTTGTGAAATCACCACATTAAAATAAAAGGTTTCTAATCACTAATGGTCATGCTTGTAAAGTGACACCTATAATGACTTTTAGGGCTATTGCCTATTATCATTATCAGACAAACAATAGCTCACAGTATCATGGCTGAGACAAACTGAGGTAGAGCTAAACCTATTTTACTGTTGTTGTTTTTTTGTGCAATATATAAATAATCTCATTTAACATGACACCAGCAGTAGGGCTTGTACATTTTTAATTATAATCATACAAACCATAGTACAATGATTGGGACAAGCTAAGATATAGCAGTGCCTATTTTATTATTTTGTTTGTACACAGTGAATAATCTTGTATAAATTGACTCTGGTAGTTACTTTAAGAGCTATTACATATCATCACCATCAGACAAACAATATAACTCAAACACTATAGTATTATGACTGAAACAAACCAAGATATAAGAGTACTTATTTTAATGTTTTGTTTGTACACTGGATGAATAATCGCATGTAACATGATACCATTATTAGAGCTATTATATTAGTGTTAAAAATGTTTGAATGGGGGTTACTATAAACCAGTTACTTAAAAAGTGGATTTTCTAAGGTTATTTCAAAAGCGTGTTTGAAAAATGTCACAAATTTTGGTACACCCTGGAAAGGTTTTGTATTAATCCCGTCCAGTAATGTACTAAAATAATTTTTATAAAATAGGATTTTAATTGATGTTTTATTTTATAATACAAAGAAGTGTACCTAATATCAATGAAATTTTACTAGACTAGTATCATTAGATTCCCAGTTTGCCCCTGAAGAAGAAAGGTCCACCTTTCGAAATCACTCGGGTTATAGGGTTTTTATTCGTTTCTATCAAGACTTCTTGAACCTACGTGTTTTTCTAACATCATGAATCATCTGTTATGTGTAATGAGTGCCTGGTGATACATTGTTCTGTTTTTATTTTTCTACATTAATAAAGGTATTAGAATACTTATTCAGTAGTCTTGAATCAATATTATTACAATATCTCCATGAATACCCCTTTTTAATATTATTGTTGTTTGTTATTGTTATAAATATTATATCAAGTGTTTTTAAAGGTTTTTTAGATCTTAATATCACTTCAACGTTTCAGTAGGTTGAGTAAAGTTGTTAATAAATAAAGTAGAGTAACATTTGAGCAAAATGTGTTTAAAGATACATATCTTACTAAACTTGTAAAAACTTGACTTGCATTGAACTGAAACCATGTGAATAAAAATTTAAGACAAACTTTTATTTACTATAACAATATAGCAATGGTCACGTAGGATAAATAAGACCACAATACATGTTGCAAATTGGAAATAGTGAAAAGCATTTAGATTTACACAGCAAAATTAATAATGATAATATGCCATGTATCAGATTTAAGCTCTTGTTGCAAGTATACTATGTGTTAATATCGAAAATTAAGAATTACTACGTATAGTTGTGAGAAGATGGATCTTTGTTTTTATCCAAAATTGGAAATAAAATTAAATTTTACATTAAGAGCATTTTTCCAAATGCATTTCACACAAAGGCATGCATAAGTTCTCCTGTTGTATTTTTGACCAAATGGATTACCCTTTTGCTTGAGGGCTGTGTGTGTGTGTGAGGTGGCCGGATAGGTTGCATGCCAGACTGTGAAATTGGCTGTTCTTGGTTCATGTCTTATTGCCAGAAAATCATGCTCAGCACCTTCTTGTTATGGGTGTGTTACATGAGTAAATTTTTAATGCCACATTTGATTTAGAGTGACCTAAAAGTGTGTGGGTGGGGGTGCTGCCTTCCCTCTAGTCTGTCGGTTCAAAACTAAGACAGTTAACACAGATAGCCTTTCTGTAGCTTTGTTCAAATATTACATGAAATATATTATCAATCTTTAATTTTTTTAACTGTCAGTTTAGTTAACAAAAAAATTAAAGTAATCTATCTGTTAAAGCATGAACCATGTGAACTAACAATATAAAGTTATCTATGAGTTTATGTTATCAGTTTATTTCCGTAAAATCTCCGGTTAGTGTTAACAGCATTACTTAATTAATAATGTCATGAAATCAAATGATATTTGGAAATTGACCATACATTTATATCTGTAATGGGCACACTTTTCTTTTGTTAGTATGTAGTTATACTCTGGTTTTATATGTTTGCATGTTGTTGTTTTTTGAGCCTTGGTGTTGAATTTAACATTGGATGCGTCTCTCAAATGCAGAAAAAATGTAGGTGTTTTGGATGGTGGAACAATAAATGTCTACATCCAGTAATTTAAAAATACATTTACACCTAAAAGCAATTGTGTTTTATAATCCATCATTTTGTGATTCAGGATATATCTTGTATGCAGCTACAAATGTTTTCTACAAGGAGTTAGAGAGAATCAAAAAGGGAAAACTTTACAAAGGGTCCATGCTACCTTACCACTATTGCAGAATCAGTGGTCTTCAGGATTTAACCTAATATTTGTGAGCGATATGCTCTTATGAAAATATTCTGTGCAAATTCTCCATACCAAATACCCTAACTAAAATCACCATAGCTTATTATTGGGATTGTCACCTGGGGAGATGATTCTTCACCAAAACTTTAGCCATTGGCCACCCTTGTTGTATTCATCATTATTTCTTTGTACATACCAGGCTTGCATGAATTTCTGTCACTGTTTTACTGTGGATGAGATATCTGTCTCTTTTGCAAGTTAAGTAATTGGTAGCTGATACCCCATCGTGATCACATCCATATTTGTAGCAGTTTTCTGACATATTTTCTTAGGCTTTCAGGATGTATTAGACAGAATGTTGCTATGATAAATGGCTTAGAGGAGCAATTATCACTTTCCAATTCTTAGGTAAATTTTGATCGGAACATATGTACAAAACTTTCATAATTCCACCAGTTTGTATCAGATATGATATCTGTTAACTGCAATCATCTTCAGTGGAAATAAATTACATTCTATATAAAACCAGAATCTAAAAGCTTATTCTGGATTTACTACAAAAATATTCCCTGTGAAACATAAATTTGTATTTGTTTGAAATCTTGCATTTCGATTGTTTATAAATCCAGTGTTTTACTATAAAATTACAAAAAGTTTACTTTTTTTATTATATACAATTGTGAAGATTGTGCATGTTGAAGTAATTTTTCTACACATTTTTTATCATATAGCTATATAACTTATGTTTCCACTTTAATATCAACAACTTTAGTGAAATATTTCATAAGCTTACATGTCTGAAAAATTTTTTAGAAAATATTTGAAACTGAGTTGTTGATATTTTCGTTCTTGATTCATCACATAATGAAAAAAATCTATGAACGTGTTATGCTGTTTTAATTTTACGTGAAATCGAGATCTAATGGTAATTATAAACTACTGTATGTACATTTTTCAGTTTAAATGTATATTGTATGACCTACGATCCATTGTTACATTAAATACTGGCTATATATGTACTTGTTTTGCAATTTTTTTAATTCAGTGTATGTCAATGTTTATGTTATTCAAAACCATCACAATTTCCAATGAATAAGTCATTGTATATGTATTTGAGAAAGCTCGTGTTGAATCATTTATGGACTCCATCTGCCCAAAGTTTGTGGTGAATGACATTTTGATCATGCCGAAACTACAGTGAAGAACTCGGCACGAAACCTAAAATGTTGTCTACCTGTAAACCCCACCAGCGTAAAGAGATTCAATTCCAATGAAATATAATTTGTCAAAACTATGTGAAAACACAAGTCTTTAAAAAAGCTGCTGCAGCAAAAGAATAAATTTTGAATAAAGTGTTGTATTATCTTTTTTTTTCCCCTTCTGTGGTGACATGTGATACCTAAATAAAGAATTTAGTTTGTTTTATTATGTTAAAAGTTTATTTAGTTTAGACTTGATTATTTTTTTATGTGTTTGCGTGTCTGCATGTCATGGTTAGGACTATGTGTATGCTGAGAATTCTACATAATTGTTCTGATATATATTAGCCTTTAACAAATATTGTAAAACCTCTAGACTAATGCTGTGCAAACTGAAAGTAAAAATTAAAAAATAAAGAAGTTTTAAAAGCTATCATACAAATATTGTTACTGTTACATAATATAGTAGTAACAATTAACATGGGAAAATGACATGTACGGTATATGCACAAATAGAAGGGAGGTACCATATAAAAAAGTTTGTGCACCACTGTTCTAAACCCTTAGAATAGCATACATTGTTTGAGGATTAATAAGCCAATGGAATGTAATGGGGAAAAAAACCTGGTTCCTTAACCCATTCACTGCAACTAGGACATACATTTCCCAGTCGCAATATCAGTTTTTATTTGAAAATTAAATTTGCATTTTTTAGCATGCAGGTTAGGCTTTTGTAGCAACCATAATTTGAAATTCACAAACTCTTAATGCTGCCAGAAATAAGTAACAAATATGATATTACAAAAAGTATTATGGGTGAGGTACCCCCCCCCCCAGGTTATACTACTTAGTATGTACATCCAATTAGAAGTCCGGTGTTACACTGATACAGAAAAACATCAAGATATAATTCCCCATTTTTATCTGATTCTTTCATTTTGGCACACCCTCTAATGTTGGATATAGATAATGGTACTATACACTGTATTGTAAATGTAATTCATAAGTTTATTAGATATTTAAAGCTTTTATTCCATTTGGCAAATCATGGCTTGGAAATATTGTATGCTGAATTCTGCTTCTCATGTTAAGTTTTGTTTGAGATTATTTTTCATGCAAATAATACACGAAACTCGTTCACATTTTAGATTTTGATAAAATTCCAATGTTACAACTAGCTGCTGCTGGAAATACAATATATATATATATATATATATATATATATAT